TGTGCCGTTCATGATTTCATAGATGTTGACCTTATCTACCACTTATCCCTCTGTAGCAAGCTCTGCAGTGTTTCAATCTATATGCCATAGCAAGAAGAGTTGGTGTAATTGTGTGATGGAAGAAAGGATATATATACAGAAATATTCCTGACTACAGAGATAAAATATGGAGAGACAGTCAGTAAGACTCTCATGCAATGCCCTGTTTTGACAGATGAGTCTTCTCACTCCATTTTATTATGTGAGGGCTTCACAGTAATATCCCAGGTCCCTCCAGTGTTTCAACCCATCTGCATATGGCCTGCATCTGCAGGTTAATTGAACGTTCTCCCTCACATCTCACCCTGCCTTGCAGACCTAAGCACCAGGAGATGGGCAAAAGGCTGCTGGCCCACAGAGTTCCCCTCTGCCAGATAAACAGCATGACACTGAAGTATCTACCCAAGAATCAGTTTTGGAGGAAGGATGAATCATCCATTGTTGGCAAGTTCTGTGCAGCCCCGCTGCCTCTCGAGAGCAAGTAAGTCACAGGAATATCTTACAGCCATCCACTGACCCTGTGGATACAGCCTGCGGTTTGAAACAATGCATTCTCTCTCCTGTTAGATAAACACGTAAAGAGGTCTCTCCCATCATCTCTGTGACCCTATGTAAATCATTTTCTACCTGTGAGAGAGAAAACTACCAAGGTAGCTTTCTAGGAGTTTTCTACAATTCTTCCTCCAGGATAAAAGTGTTGTACCATGGAAGGAAAATGGCTGTGACTCACATCACCTTGAAGATGCTTGTCACAAACCATGGCAAAAGCTTGTACTAACTAGAATTTATTCCTTTTGTCCTTGCTTGCTCTCTTCATCTTCCCCCTGTCTACAGTGGGCTCCCATCTGAAATGTGACAGACAAACATTTTTCAGGATGAAACAACAGAAGACAAGTAATATATTTCTGCTCCTTATACTGCACAGGCTTATAAAGCACTAAGGCTAAAGACAACCATTTTGGCATTTTCTACACCAAGCATTGTAGAATATATGCCTTCAGCCATAATTACCTTACCCAGAGTAGAAGCAGCCAAGTCCTTCTCATCCTGTGAGAGAGAATGGTCTTCTCCATAATACAATATTCTTGCCAGGAGTTTTGCAGATCCAAAGTTCTTGCAGGCAGGGTGAAATAGTTGGGTCTCTGCTGGCACATTAAACTGTCCACGTTGCTTCTGAGTTGACTTTTATGCTGGCTCCAGGCTGAAGCAAGCTAGTGGGTATTCCAAAGCAGGGAAAACCAGAAGCAGAAGGCAAAATGGCCTCACATTCAAATTCTGTTCTGATGGGCAGTAAGGCGACTCAAGGACAAGGCAGTAAAAATATATCCAGTAGGCCCAGATAGGGAAAAAAAGAGGCATTCCTATGTAAATACCAGGCACTCCCTTGAGCATAAGGACTATACCTTCCTAGCGTGCTTTGCAGAACAAAGCACTCCAAAGTTGGGATGGATGTGCAGATATGTGAGTTTTTACCATTTTTGAATGGGGCAGCACAGCACATTGTCTTAAAGGTGTGCTAACCTGCACCCCTGGCAGCACTGGACTAGGCTGCAATGGAGGTACAAAGCTGTAGAGTTGCATAGGTTCACAGCTACGCTTTTATCACTAAACTAGGAGCACTCAGAGCAGCAATGGTACTGCTAGGAGGGGGCAATGGAAAGGTGAAGGACACAACCCCATACACACCCCTCCAGACAGTTCATCCCAGCCAGGGCACAGCACCCTGTTCATCATAGCCTTGCAAAGCAGCACAAGGTCCATCAGCAGCTTGCTTGCCTCTGCTTTAGGATAGCAACCTCCACCCGCTGATGCTCAGCCTGACTTCCCTGTGCTCTTCCCACAGCAGGACAATGTCATGCCTGCCCTGGAACCTCACCCTCCCCGGCAATACAGACATCTCCTATGAGCCGCCTGCTGCCTGTGCCTAGCACTGCCTTCGGAGTAGGCAGGCATACCCAAACACGGAAAGGAGCCCTACACCTATTGCTGCTCTCTGCTCACAGATGATGCTTTCACCATAAAACGGGGCGGGGGGGGGAGGTATATACTTCCTGCATTAAGCACAGAATGTCAATGACAAAAAGAGTGCGGCAGATCGGTGAGTACAATGTTGACTGGTTACAGCAAGACCTCTCAGTTGAAAGACTGGATTGGGACTTTTGTCTCACAGGTTCTGTACCCAGCTCTGAAAGTGAGACAGGCAAGTCATCTAATCTCAAGGTTTGGATCTGTGTGAAAGGAGGAGATAATATCACTCTTCCTACAACAGGAGTATTGGGATGATTCATTTATATTTTATATTAAAGTGCACTGAGATCTTCATATTAAAGGTGAGAGGTATTCTTTTTTCCTCAGCAAGGGGAAACAGTGTGGTTCAGGTTTGGCACAAGAAGGAGTCGTTCTTTGCCAGCGCTCCAATGGGAAACTCACTAGTCCCATCGGTAAGATACTTTCAGAGTGAGACCCTATTGATCTCATGTTAGTGCTCCTGCTAAGTAATCAGAACGGATCTCCTTCCCTGACTGGCTTGGGGCAGCTCTTCTGGCTGTTGGCTTGTTCTCTCTGAAGCTCACATGAAGTGAAACAGACACAAGGAGCACAGCAGTGCTCTCACATCCAATTTTGCACTGATTTGACCAACTGCCCAGAATAGAAGGTAATAGGAGGAGGACAAAGCATCGTAGCTACAGGGCCACCTAACACAAATTAGTCCCAGGAACTCAGCACAGCCTTTCAGACCTGGAAAAGTACCTGAGGTCTGGAAAGAATTGGTGAAAGATTACAATATGAGACGTATGCACATAGAAACAGCCCTCACCCATCCACACCTTTTCCACCACCTTGATGCATATGCAAATTAAAGAGGAGACAAGTCTTTCATCAGTTCTACCCACAAATCACATCTTCTATAGACCATTTTCTCTGGTTCCCTGGACTGGCTTCACTGGGTGATAGAAAATTGCACCAGGAACACCATGGTCAGGAGAGAGGGACATGCTAAAGGTATTTCTGCCATGAAGAAGCCTCAGTCATTTGGCATGAGCTGTCACTACTGCTCCACAAGACAGTGTCACTGCAGAGTTAGCTGCTGCTTTCAGCTCACATCCGAGCTCTTGGGCCCTGCCATGTGCCTGTTTGGAAGGCCAGCTCACAAACACCATCTCCAGCATACACTCAGGAGGGGGTTAGAGCTGGGCTCTGACACCCTGACAGAGTTCCAGGTGCCGCGACTGAAGAGTTTCCAGGGAGCTTCTTTTTGAAGACTGGAATATGACCTCAGCAGGCACTGTGAAGGGCAGTGTGTAATTCAGCCCAGCCCCGTCCACTACTTCAGGCAGGTGCACAAAGCACCATGACAGATGGATGCAGTTTCATTCTGCATTTCGGTTCCTCTGCAGAAGGGACCCCAGCAGCTCTCGTGTTAATTTGCTGGAGACATGTCCTAGATATGAAGGGCAATGAAAAAAAGAATGTAGCAACAGAGCATGGTGACAACAGAGCAGGATGATGCCCGGGCCTGGGGCAGCCTCATTTTCCTCCCCTGGGCTGACAGCAAAGACCAGCAGTGCGAGGAGCTGCATACACCATGGATCCCACATACCCACCACTTCAGAGGCCTCTCCACCCTCTCAGCAAGAGTGCCGTATCCCAAGGGCGCAGATCTCGCCCAGCTGCGACTTGCAAGACACACCAAACTTTGCCCACACTGTGGTCTCCATGCCACAGTCCCCGTGTGAGCAGCGCAAGTCAGGCAGGGCTGCCTCCACCAGCCCAGGGCCGACACAAAGCCAGCCTCACACGAAGAACAGCCATGACCCCGCACCTCTGTGCCAAGAGGTTGGACTTGATGATCTTTGAGGTCTCTTCCAACCATAATGATTCTATGATTCTAAAAGGCACCGAAGAACGCCCTGCCCTGTGCATGCTGACAGAGGGACTGATGCTCCTACCCTCACCTCCCAGCTTGGTTGCAGCAGGCTCTGTGGGACACAGGATTCCTCCACCGGTACTGCCATCTCCAATTCCCTGACAGAGGAAATGGCTGGGGAAGCCTGTCAGCCAAAGCCTGTTCCAGCTGATGGCCTTCCATCTCCATGCTATTCTCATCTAAGATACTGTACTTCTTCCTACCAGTGGCTGCTCTCCCCAGAGATGTTTTCTATTCACTCATTTCTTCACTCAGTGTGTGCACCCTGAGGTCATCCGGCACTGAGCATAAACCAAAACAAAACAAAAAAAGGGGTTCAGGCTCTCCTTGCCTACACCTGCCCTGAGTCCTAACGCCTCCCCTTTCTTATTCCAAATGAATCAATTCAAACAACTGACCTTTCACCAGAAGTTGGTAACTTCTTTGAGAAGTGGTGCTTGTCATAAATGAAAAATCCTAACCCCTGGAAAAGTAATTTCTGGTCTTACTACAGTGGATGCCCAGGTGAGACGCGTATCAAATCTCCATATCATGTTCTCTATGGCAAGCCATTGCCAAAGCTGTCAGGGAGCCCATTTTCCCCTGTCCTTTCCCCTCCGTGCCTTGAGATCAACTCAAGCCTTTCAAATGGTGTTATCTCTCTCTCCAAACCCTCAAACACCAGGAGTTTCATCTCTGACTTTAATGGGAATCATTAAATCAACGGGAACACAGATTCTGCGAGCAGGCTGGTATCGCTTGCAGCGATGTCGGTGTACCTTGGCGTCAGAGCTGCCGGCACACCTCAGAGAGGCAGGACTAGGAAACAAACCATGGAAGTGCACTGGGGAAGGCAACTCTGATGAAAAACCACGGGGTGGGAGGTGCTGGAGTGTCACACCGCAGTCTCACGCGTGTGCTTCACGTGCTCCTGAGTGTACGTGTCTGCAGGCAGATGTCTCGGTGCATGCTAAAGAGTGTCTCTTGGGTCAGAAACCTGCGTGAGGATACACTCCCTTGGAGGGGCTTCGGGATCAAACCAGCCTGTTGTTCCCTAGAGTTCGGGGGTCTGAGTGGGAGCCAGAGGGGCTTGTCCTTTGCAGGGAGGGTTAGGAGAACTCCGGAGAAGGCTTCCAGAGGCTGCAGAAGGAAAGCAGTGGAGGAGGGAGGAAAATGGGAGAGGAAGGGAGAGGGGGGAGAGGTGGAGAGAAAGAAAGAAAAGAAAGAAAGAAAGAGAGCACCATTATTACCACAGGAATAAATCTTACTTCCAAACTTTTCCAAGACACAAACCTCATGGAACCCACCGTTACCTGTCGTTCTCCTCTTCCCTCCTAAATTCGCATGCAAAACTACATAAATCTTCAACATGTGATAAATCAGAAAATGGGGTTATGCTCCCATCCTGAGACAGCAAAAACAAATTCCTCCAAAGCACCTTCCATGATATCAATGAAACAAAGCCCACAAGCTCCTTTGATTTTGCTCTCAAAGCAGGTGTAAAACAATTCCTTCTAACTTGGATTCCAAGCTACAGGCCATCCATCATCCATCCATCCCTCCACCTCACCCACCAAACAGAAAGCCAGCCCCAAGATACAACTGTACAAAACTAGGTAGCAACCGCTCCACCTCTTGCAAGCACTTGATAGCAACAAACTAGAACAACTGTGACATGAAAAGGGGAAAAAACAGGTGGCTTTTGAATTTCCATGCAAGGAATAAAGCTTAGTTTGCTATGGAGCATTGAGCTATACAGCAATACACTCTTAAAGCAAGTTTTGAATAGAACCTTTGAACCTGCCTCTTCTAAACAGGCAGCCTATAAATTATTGAAATATTTCTCCTCCTCAAAGAATGTGCTCATCAGTGGGATATCACAGCCTGTCTTGCTTGTAAGCAGACTAGAAACTCTTTCAAGGAACTAGATGATAAGAATAGTAAGCCAATATATCTCCCAGGAATATTTTCTTCTGCATGATCTTTGCAGCACTTTGGGCATTCAAGAATTGCCCTCCTGCACTGTGGTATCGCAAGGTGGGCGCTGTAGTGACAGAAAACAAAAAGGAACGTGATCCGCAGAAGCACTTCAGCATGGGGAATTTAGAGAGCTGGAAGGTGATTACCCAGGTTGGAAGCTGCTGTGGAAGAAGATGAGAGCACAGATCAGGGGAAAGCCCCAGGGGAGCTCTGACCTCTGGGACCGCAGCTATCACTTACTTCGAACAATGACACTGCAGGGAATATCCCTGTTTATTATGGATGTTTTCACCACTTCCAAGGGAAAAGTTATGAAAGTGCTTTCCCTGGGCCATGGCAGACCTGCTCAGCTCATGCGCTGAGCTGTGACAAGTGCCTGGCCAGAAGGGAAAACTGCAGCCCCTCTGTATCACTAATTTTTGTGGTTAGGCACTCAAGTCGTTGTGGAATAGTGTCCAGATGTGACAGACAAGGAAGATCATCCTCCTCTCCCACCCCAGATACCAGCCTCTGAAACATTTGGGCTTTTATCGCAGGTCTCTACTGCAAGTATCAGCACACCTTGATACTGCCTCATTCACAAGATCTAGGCTTCCAGCTTCCATCATGTTTTAAAACATGTTTTCATGTTTTGTGAAAGAAAGAATAGCTTTGTGCTGTGTTGCACAAGCTTTCTCAATACACATACACACACACCTTGTGTGTATGTTCATAGTATTGATGCATTACCAAAAATGGGTGGAAATGATTAAAAAAAGCTACGGTGTTCCTTGCCTCCTTCCTTTTTTAATTGCATTAAAAATTCTGATTTTATTGAGCTTGATCAACTGGGAGAATTCTGCGAATGACCTGAGAATGGATATCCTTCTGCTGAGAAGACAAAATACAAGCAAAGCATAGACAAAGTGACTTCACCATGTTCACAACACTATCTGCATTCATTTTTGATTGCATGTATTCAACAGACATGCCTGACAGTTAGGACAATGGCTGCCTCACAAGTGATTCAGTATCTCTGCCTCTCCAAGAAAGGACTGAAAAAGCTGCCAATTCATATCTCGAGCAGTCTACCAGCAAAACCAGGGACTTCACATTCCTAGGACTTCCAAGCTAAAGGATTTTTTTTTTCTTTTCCTCTCTATGCCTTCTTTTTACAAAACAAAAAAAACCCACAACACAACACAAACTAAAAAACACACTAAGCAAAACTCTTGCTAAGTTTTTGTCAGATTCAAGCAAAACCAAATACACTTGTTCCTTCCCTGGCCAGTTTCTTCATATGCCAGATTTTAAGTTTGGAGGCATGGAAGCAGTACAGGAACAGGCATGTGACTCAACACAAAGCAGAATTGTACAAAACAGGAAGACCTTCCAGTTCCACTGTTTTCAAAAACTAAGAATAATAACCGGATGAAACAGCAAAAAAGCCTGCTTCCACCAGAGACCTAATGCAAATAGCAAGTGCTGTCTGACCCTGACAGCTTCTCCACGTAGAGCACCCAGGAGGGACGGTCCCCTTGCCATCACAGCAGTGAGGCTCATGCACAAGCACTACAGGGTAGGGAGGATTACTGCAGGCTTGTCAGGGCTCACGCTAGGAGTCTGTGTGTCCTGCTTCATGCTCCCTGCCAGTGAGTCCCCAGCCCAAGCATTTGCAGCCCAGAAGTAGACCCAAGCGGGCACAGGGAAGACCAGGGTGCGATGCTGCACCATGTTCAAGGATGCCTGCTGGAAGGCGGTCTCCCCAGCTACAGCCCAGCCCTGCCATGCAGACCCAACTGGGACATACGCAATGTCACTTCTAGGACAGAAATTCCAGTCCCAGAGTTAGTCTGGCTGCCAGAAAGCAGCTATTATGTGGCTGCGGCAGGGACAGGGGTCTGCAGCTGGCATGCAGCAGCCGGCGTGCAGCAGCTGGCTAAAAGTAGCTCAGTGTGGAATTTCTCTCTTGGCCACTTGGATCTGAATTTCAAGCACGAGCCACCCTATTTCTGTTCGCCTGCGTTGCTCCTCTGCTCCAACATCCATCAGGCCCAGAATTTTTCCCTTGCAGAGTAAGATGCTGGCACCTCATTCCCACTCACTGGAAAGCAGCGTTTGGGGCATGTTAAAACAAAGTTTAGCCCGTCAGTCCACCCAGGGTGATTGGAGGCAAGAGCTACACCACACAGGGCAGACCTTTCAATACCTTACTGATCTGGCTGAGATGAAGCTCAGCAGAGACAAGGAGGACAGAGCAAACGCTGGGGTGAGCTGTGGCGGGCAGGGGGAGGAAGGACTCTGAGCCTTCTCCCCCTGCCCAGACTGAGCACTTGCAGGGTGTGCAGCAACTCCTCGCTATCAATCCGCTATAAACCCTGGAGCTGTTTCTACCTCTGTCAACATCTCCTGGGTTGTCTGCTCTCTCACCTGCAGACATCTTCCTCAGCTCAATACTGGAGTATCCCAGGCACAGCCCTACCTCATGGTGAGCCAAGTCAAGCCCTGTGGGGTCTCTGCGGGCATCCATGTACCACCCGCCAGCCGGGACAGCATTTCAGTTTGTCTGCCTCTCCTGAGGGATGGAGAGAGGACAGGACAGGGAAGAGCTTCCTACGGCCAGGTTATGGGCCCTTCCACCCCATGGTACGGCTGGTGCCTGGAGTCAAGCCTGTACCCTGCTGCTTTTCCTTAAGAAAAATCACAGAGCTCAAGCCCACCTCCTGGGATTCCTTGGGGCAGCAGGCAAAAAAAGGCTGCAGAGGAGCAAACCCACAGCAAACAAGGGCTGGTGGCCGCCACTCTGCCTGGGCAGTTGCATCATGGGAAGGACTTGCTTCTGCAAGTGGGTACTTACGCGGGGGTCCCACACAGGGTGAGGTGTGCCCGTGCCAGGAGTGCCCTCACTTCATATACTCCCCTTCGCTCACATAGTCCATAAAAGACCCCGGCAACTCAGCAAAATCTTCCAAGACAAGACTGGTGGAGTCCTCACCCAGCAGGTCACTGTCAGGTCGGGATGCCCGGGGACGCGGTGCCGGCAGCGGCGGCGGTGGTGGTGGTGGTGGCTGCGGAGGGGGCTCACCCCCAGCCGGGCCAGAGGCAGGCAGTGGCTCCTCGCAGTCCTCCGGCTCCCCCTCGGAGGAGGTTGGCCCGAGGACGTGGTAGAGGCTGGGCAAGCGGATGTCGAAGCGAAGGCCAAACTTGGCGAAGAGCTTCTCGTTGAGGGAGTACAGCTTCTCCGAGATGTCGTAGCCCAGGTGGGAGGAGAAGAGCCGGGCAACATAGCGGTCCTTCCTCAGGAGGAGATACAGCTTCTTCCTTGGCCAGGTGACGAAGCTGCAGTCGGTCTCAGCTGTCAGTGTGACCTGTGGGGCAGGGAGGGAGTGGAGTAAGCCTGACTGCCTGGGTGGAGGTCACCCACTTTGAGGCTGCATGATTCTCTCCAGTGAAGGCCCCCAGCCCCTTTGATGCCTGCTCTCCTTGGAGACAGTGGGGTTGGAGAGCCAGATCATCCAAGCTGAACAATCAGATAAATCCTTACCCACCTCCGTTTCCTCTCCCCAAGGAGCCGAAGACCAGCTTTTCCTATGCAATTGGTGGCATGCCCTTGCTTAACCCAGCCACATGGCTGGCTACATTTCACTCTCTTGCTTTCAGATGATGCTCCCTGTTGACACCTGAGCGATGCAGCCGAAATGACCAGGGCAGCACAGATGTCCTTATCCCTCTACAGAAATGTTACAGAGGGGGGGTGTTTCTGCATGCCCAGCCAGTCCAAGCCACCAGCGGGTAGCCCTGCGGCAGGCTGCCAGCCCCCCTGCTCCGAGAAGACCCCGGGTGCGGGAAGGGCCACCTGGAAGGTTGGCCTGGTCACCCCGCACTGGAGGGACAACATCCTGACTCGCCAGCTCTGCTGGGCGCTGTAAGGCTGAATGGCCTTGAAGGACTTGTGGCACAGCTCAGTGAGAGAGGAAATAAAAGGGTTTTACTGTGTTTGTGTGTAGGTAGGGAACTCACCAGACATTTTATTGGGTTGATTTTAGAGAACATTTCGTTTTGCTTTGGGTTTTGCCAGTGCTAACAGAGCCATTTTTCCCCCTAGCTGTAAGACCAGACTATTAATAATGAAAGACATTATATAATACACGAGTGTATATTGTAATATATAAATATAATAA